AGTGGCTTCGTAAGAAGAATTTCAAGGTCCTGGAGTGGCCTAGCCAGTCTCCAGATCTAAACCCCATAGAAAACCTTTGGAGGGAGTTTAAAGTCCGTGTTGCCCAGCGACAGTGTGTGCCAACCTTGTGAAGACTTACAGGAAACGTTTGACCTCTGTCATTGCCAACGAAGGATATATAACAAAGTATTGAGATGAACTTTTGATATTGTCCAAATACTTATTTTCCACCATAATTTGCAAATAAATTCTTTCCAAATCAGCCAAGTGATTGTCTGGATTTTTTTTTCTCATTTTGTCTCTCATAGTTGAGGTCTACCTATGATGCCAATTACAGGCCTCTCTCATCTTTTTAAGTGGGAGAACTTGCACACGTGGTGGCTGACTAAATACTTTTTTGCCACACTGTATCTGTGCTCATGAAAGAAGCAAATGGCTCTCAGTTTCTATGTATAATAATTTATTTTAATGTATTTTAGGCAAAAATAAATGGAATATCTCAGTGTTAAACTAATACTCTTTGAACTGTTTCTATGCAGCTGCAATTGCAACTTCAAGCTGTTAATTGCTATTCAATTTTTTTTTTTAGTAGGTTTTAAGGAATACCATATTGCCTGCAATGAACTGCTGAAGATACAAGGATTTACCTTGGCTTCTTGCATTATACATGATCACTGGACTGCAAAGAGAATCATAATATCTGTGAAGCGTAACTGTATTCTTGATGTGCATCCTGATTAAAGAGAAAGTTTCTATTTTGGGGCACATTGTAGGGTTTGTTAGTTTGCGGTGTGCCTCCTTTTTGTATTTAAGATTGACTACTCTTGCTGACTTGGCTTATCCCTACTTTACTAGTACACTGTCTGTACTAGACTTTCCTGATTACGTAGTTTATTTATTAACGTTTGAGAGTGCAAAATCAGGCTCACTTCTGCATAGAAACCAATCAGCTTCTAAACTCAGCTTGTTCAATTAAGCTTTGGCAATACAACCTGGAAGCTGATTGGTTTCTATGCAGAGTGAGCCTGTTTTTGCACTCTCCAGCTTTAGTACATAAACTGTATGTCTTTCCCTTGTTCTAGCTTGGATGTTTGGCCTTGGTTAAATCATGGCAACAACTTTTAGCAACCTTTTCCTGCTATCCTTCTGCCTCATCCTTTGGCACTTACTATACCTAGTTGGATATAACCTTTTAGTCCATCGATTGGACTCTTACCTCACCTGATCTGCACATCCAAGTTCACAGTAATTGGAGCGCGGTCTCGTAGTTACAACCAGAAAATTAGACGCTTAAGTCCTGGGTGCACCTGCATACCAATGCTCATGCATAAATCATCCTTGAAAGGTGGTTGCTATAGGTGAAGTGTGCCGCAGCAGTGATCATCTAGTTTAAACAGATACATAATCCTCACGCAAGGCAGAATGTTTACACTTGGCTTTTGATACCCCGTCACTTTGCTTTAGCTAGACTTTGATTGGTGGCTGCATGTGAATAAATAATGCTGGTGGTGCTCATATGAAACAAGTAATTTAATGCTGATAACCTGCCAAGTGTCATCTTCAAGCAACAACAGAGGAAACGGTGAGTAACTTTTATGCACTTATTAGTCACATTAGTCATCAAAATATACCTTTTCAATTCACACCTACATCATTTTGCATTTTACACTTATCAAATTCAATAAAGTGAATGCAGTGTTATGAAATAAATAGTGTGGGACTCTCTAATCACAACATCAGTGATGTGCCAACAAGTAATACATCTATATTGCCATAACTAAGCTGTAAAGGAAAGTGAATGTATTATTCAGATTAGGCAGGTGATGTAAAAAAGTATGGATATTTTATATTTTTAAGTAATTTTGTCTTTTGTGCAGCATAAATGCACAGACAAGTTGTATGCCCACTTTCTGTTCTAGTGGAATTGAATACCACAACTACTGTTATACCCTATGCCACTTAGAGTGCCTCACAAGGTGTCTCACAGCAATATAAGGGTGCAGGCTGTCTTATGCTTAATACAGAAGGCAGTGACGTATGAGGGGATGAGAGACGCTGCATACTACTAGCTCAATCGGTGAAAAGAAATGTGAATGGCCTCAGCCATGAGGTCCTCCTGAGCCCTGCTTCAGATGCATTTCACACCTCTATGATTAAGTTCTGATGAGTTGGGTGAAATGCATCAGAGTCACTAATCCTCCCATACAACCACTATCATTGTTTCCATAGATTCTCAGTAAAGCAACCCTTTATGTGCTAGTGATTGCAGACACCACCATATATGAACTGCTTAAAATAAAAATAAACTATTGGTGCATAATCGAGTAACATAAACTCTGCTCCAGTCTGTCCTTCAAGATTCAGTTATTTGTCCATAAATACTGCCATCTTTCCTCTCACGCAGCATAATAGCTTTTGCCAACAGGATTTGGTCTTGAAGCATCGGTTTCATATTAGTTTGAGATGCTTTTGAAAACATCCAAGTACATTTGACTTGCAGTTGACTACCTTCTGACCTGTTTCAATACACTTGTATGGGAATGCAAAACTCATCTGATGCAAACAAAAGCCCATCGACACAGGCCCCTAAGAAGCTAAAGTCTGGCTTTAAATCATGGTCGACATCAATGCGGCTTCTATCCTTCCTGTAACAGTCTTGTGTAACTTCTCTCTGAATAAGTCAGCAGCCCAGTGCTTGATGATAAAAATGAGGACGTAGCTTTTAACTTTTTAATAAAACTCAAAATTGTATTTTGGTAATAGATTTGTTCAATTTGCTTAGACCACACATTTTTGGGGAAAGAAGGAATGCATTTGATACAGTTAGTAAAGCAGATGCCCTTGACAGGCAATTTATCTAGCAACAGATATTCATCTTTCTTTTGATCACTGTGCCACAGTGTTCTGACCCTGGAGGTAAAAGAAATATTGGGTACTGCATATGACAGAGTTTGTGACTCTTTCGCCATCCTCCTATGTAAAAGAGATGATACTTGGTGGTTGCTAACCATAGGTACATGGAGTAAATCTTTAGCACTGTGTAAGCTCCAAATTGTGAATTGCATCTTACACAGGGCTATGTTGTTTTACTCCTAGTTATCAAATAGGGTCCAGGGGTGGCCTGAAATGAAGGTAAATATGTAAAGATGTGGTGGGCAGCAGTTCACTGAACCTGTTACTATGCAATTATAGGTTTACATTAAGCTGAGTAATGCATTGTAGAAAATGGTGGATACTGGGGTCCTTTTCAACTGCGTTGGACTAAGGCAGGGGTGTCCAAACTACGGCCCTCCAGCTGTTGACGTACTACAATTCCCATCATGACTCTGCTTCTGGGTGTCTTGCCTGTGGATATCAGAGTCTTGCAAGGCCTCATGGGACTTGCAGTTCCTCAACACCTGGAGAGCCATAGTTTGGACACCCCTGGACTAAGGAATATACAAATTAAGTGATACCCACAGAGCCGATATTTTAAAAGTAGGACTATGAGGAAAAAACAAAATTACATATGCTGTCTGTCAATAGCATTAACAAAGTGTTTTTTTTTCTTTTTGATAAAAAGGTTTAAACGAAAAACCCGACCTTTGCAAGCTTCTTGATAGTTTATTATTTTTTTAACTGTAAATTTTGTTGGACAGCTTAGCCTGGATGTAAATGTGGAGAAAAATATAAATAATGGTATGTGAAATAAAAACTCACAAAAAAGTTTTTCACAGATGGAAAGCATTTGGGCATCTATGGTGATTATGTTAACAGGGGAAGATCTAAAAACCATCACATGCCTCTTCAAATATATCGCTTGGTATTTAACCATGACTCTAAAGGGCAAATTGGGTCTATTGGCCTTGACAGGCTCCAATGATCACTTAACATCCCTAGTGGTCTGATTATGTCCATATTTCTGTGCTCAAAGCGGTACATTTTTTTTGTATGGAAATATGTATTTTTTTATTGTAGGCTTGTAAATTTTAGGAATAACTCACTGAAGTCTGTCCGAACAAGAGTCTAGTAAACATCCTGGGTATGCTAAAATTTGAAACACAAAATCATAAATTCTAATTTAATAAATAATCATAAATGATAATATAATAATAAATTTAATTTAATAATGTAATCAAACCAAAAACACTGAAATTTGAAATAGAGTGCCAAGTTCACACATTACTGAGCAAAGTCGCAAAATCGTTTTCAGTGTCTGATGACGAATTTCCCCACGAATCATTATCACTCAATTCTGCAAGTGGTTCTAATTTACTATCGCTGTTATCTAGCTGGTCTAAAACCGATTTTGACCTAAAGGGACGCTTTTTAGGACGCCATGGACATTTCTCAGTTTCCAGGCAGAAAGGACAGTAAAAATGCAGGTAGGGCACAGGACAAAGCACTCGGGACAAAATGTATGTGAAATTGTTTGATACAGTAATGTTATACTAGGTTATTTTAGTAAATTCAGTGAATGTCAATTTTTGTCATTTTCAAATTTCCCGCCGTTTCTTCCCCGTACGTCCCGATGTCGCAGGGGATGGAATCCGGAAGACAGATGCTGGCATCCACCAGAGGACATTACAGGAGACACTGCAGGAGGGACATCACGGGAGCGCAGAACAAGGCAAGAGAAGAACAGATCCTGGAGCAGCGCCTCATGGTAAGCCCGAGTGTAGCTCGGGGTTACCGCTTGTGGTACTGAAACTTTACCCCAAGCTACACTTGGGAATACCACCAGGGAGGCTACAAAAGGAGACTTGGGAATATGGGGAACAAGGGAAAGATATTTGTTATCCCTAACATTAAACTAAACACATGTAAAAAAGCTTCAATAAAATATCTAAAAAAATTTTGCATTATTATATTAAACACTATCATTGCAGGTAGTAATCCCAAAGAGTTACCAGAATACAACAGTGGACCTTTTATTATTGACTTATCTTAAAACTTAATCTGACACACCATTATATGAATAAGGAATGACACTCTAAGTACATCTATAAACAAGTCCTTACCTGAAAATCTGAGTTTTGGTTTTCATAAGACCTGGACCACCAATACGCACGACAACATTCTGTAGTTTCTTCTTTAGTGGATTAGTGAATTCCACCACCACTTTCATTTCTTTACCAGCCATCTTATCTCCAATAGTCTAAAGTGCAAAGACGTATATTACAGTGTATTAATGAAGATACATGACACAACTAAATCTGAAATCACCTGAGGATAACCTAGCCATTAAATGTTAATCTTAGTATTCTAATCAGTATATTATAAAGATCTTTTAATGAACACCCACTATAACAATTAGGCAGTATCATAATTGACATTCTGCTAGAAATACATTTCCATATTATTGCATAGGTAACAAAAGACTCTCAGTGGTCAGTTGCTTCTGTCTTATTATCAATCAATATTACCAATATCGAGGTTCTATAAATTATCCATTATGCCTTAGCCTTTGTATGTAATGATTGTAAAGCTGAACTCACAAGAGAAGGGGGGGGGGGGGGGGGGGAGAACCAGACATGTTTGATTTTTAGGGCAGGTATGCTGATAGGATGAGAAAGCAGACTTGTTTAGTCCCAGGGTTGGGGGGGAGTAGACCTGTAAAAGTGAGCCTGTCGCAGTGAAAGATCCCTTCTCTGCCAGGTGGAACGGTGCTGTATAAATATTAGGACTGAATTAACAGAAATACAATTACTTTTGACAGGTAAAACAGTCCTCTTTTTATCTGTGTGCCTGGAGTTCAGCTTTAACTTTTTCCTCTGGAGAACCTTATTAAATATATCAGTATTTAGTATGAAATTAAAGCTGGCTATTATTAGATCTAGCAATACTCCTGGCTACTGCAGCTTGCTAATATACACTAAACTATATTGCAATATTGCATATATTAAAAAATAATCAAATTACATTACGGGTTCAACGATAGGATTATAATTATTTTCAGTAATGTATTATAGTGATCTCTGTGTCAATCATAGCACAATAACCTGGCCCTCTTACCTATAGTGTCTTTCATTAGATTTTTTGGCCTCATAATAAATGTAAAGCCTACACAGTTAGGTGTGGATGTATTGGTTCAATCATAAGTACCACAAGAAGAATATTCCTTGTTTAACTGAGTGCATTATTGTGCACTAAGATACATTACATCTATATTAACAGGCGCCGTTAATGTCTCCCTCTTATTAAGTTATTGAATGACAGATCCGTCCATCAGCAGCACAGTTTAAGGCGCATTATATTGCTTAGAGGATTTCTCAGAGTAAATGTAAAATTATGAAAATGCTGCAATAATTGTGTCACGTCCACGTAAATAAAGATAACACATCCATTTTTCTTGGAAAGGCCATCAACGAGGTTTGCAGTAAACCTGTCACACCAATAAATATTTACTACATGTCTCCTAGGTATAATTATATGTAAACAGTTGTGACCTTAAACAGCCTTTGGTGTGTCTAATGGACATGCAGTTGACATGTATATACCGAAATGCTGCCTCGCGGTGAATAAAAAGTGCTTCTGATAAATCATTAGCTATTTGGCACTATTGCTAATACAGTATGTGCCTTCTAGAAATGATTTAGCTCAAAATGCATTCTATAAGTTGCAAGTATTTTGTGATAGAAGCAGTCAAGAACAAATAGTGTTTATTAAGCATATGTAAATACATATACATAAAATATGCATTTGTAAAAAGCAAACATGGTTTTCCAAATGTATATATATATATACTGTATAATGGAGATGAAAAAAATCTGTTTTTATCACATTAACATTATCCTGGTCACATTTTTCATTGCATATCACTGCTGAATCAACTGCAAAATTCTCAGGGCTTTATTTTTTCTCAGGCACTCCTCCTTACCCCCTGATTCACCCCTATATTTGCCTCCTATCTACCTCCAAGAACTGTCCCTTGTCTCTGCCCCTACCCATCTCCCAGTACCACCCCTATAAGAGAATACAGAACTATGTATCATTTTGTGGTGGTAAGTATTTTGTATGAAATATGTTAATGATAACAACAACTGCAGCAAACTAGGCCCCCTAGCAACAATAGATCCCCTATGGAACAATAGCCCCCTAACAATAAGTCCCCCCAGCAAAAATAGGTACCCCCCCCGTAACAATAGATCCAGCAGCAATGTGCTCCAGACCACACAACAGTAGATCTTCCCCAACAACTATAGATCCACCAGCAACACTACAATGATAACAACAAAAGCAGCAAAATAGACCCCCCTAATAACAATAGATTTGCCCAGCAACAATAGATTCCCCAAGCAACAATAGGCCCCCCCACCAACAACAACAGGTACTCCCTAGCAACATCAGGTCCCCTGCCAGCAACAATAGATCCATACGCAACCAGCATCAATAGACCCTTCAGCACATCCAAGTACCCCTTGGCAGTATATACATTGAGTTCTGGAGGTACCAAAACTGCATTGCCATGTTCCCACAGCAAAAAAACTATATATTCTATTCCTCAACTTAGGCTATTAAGGGCACAAACACTTTTGCACCAGTACTGATCCTTGTCTAATTTTTCCTCCCTAGCAACAACAGGTCCCCTGCCAGCAACAATAGATCCATACGCAGCCAGCATCAATAGACCCTTCAGCACATCCAAGTACCCCTTGGCAGTATATACATTGAGTTCTGGAGGTACCAAAACTGCATTGCCATGTTGCCACAGCAAAAAAAACTATATATTCTATTCCCCTCCTTTGGCTATTAAGGGCACAAACACTTTTGCACCAGTACTGATCCTTGTCTAATTTTTCCTCCCTTTCACCCTCTATATTTGCTGGGTACTGGATTGCATTCATTATCATGATGACCCCTCCAGTGTACACATTTGCTACTGTATCTAAAAAAACACAGCATATCTCTTTAAAAAACTTTACCTACAATTCTTCAAAGTAGATTCTACTGCATTATATCTCAGCACTTGAAAATGCAACTTATTAATCTGCATTAGCAAATACGTGCATACTGGAGAGGGCCTCAATATAGGGTGGTTCAGCATAACATTTTTACGTACAATACCATCAGTCTAATTTCATTTTCAAAGATGTGGTTCTCACCTTAATGCGCAGCTCAGGAACTTGCAATACTACAATCTTCTGTTTGGCCATTATCTTCCTTGTTTCATTGATACGAGTCGTGACGAAGAAGTGTAAAGAGGCCTGTTCCACAAGATGGCTCATGTACTCACTGGCTTTTATATTAACGTCCACTGTTTTATCTAATGGAAATATATAATGGAAAAGAGGAAACACAATTTACATTCTGAAGAGGTCATTTGAATTGCATTTCCACATATCAGACACTATATAACACTCATCTTGTCTGTTGCAAGTAGCTAAAAGGTAATGCACAAATTCCACCTCTTCACACTCAATACACAGCTAGGGATACTTGTGCTTGATTTAAGCATCTTCTGATTGTGCAGCTCAATGTATCTTTCAAGCACACAATCTGCTTTTAATAAATAAACCTTAATGTAAATCACTCAAGTGCTGCTTTACGAACATTACAGAAAAGTTCAAAAGAAAATACAAAGAGTTATAGTTTTTCAAAACTGCAATTTTTGTTTTATGACAAATACATTTTTGAAAGATGAAATAAATTCTTATCATTTGTTCCTAAGTGATTTCAAATAAAGAGACAGCTCAAAATATCCACAGGGTGCAATATCTATGCTTAGATGAAAAAGGAAGCAGTTGTTCATAGATATGTAAACACAAAGGACAATAGACTTTGTTTAAAAAATTATATGCAATGACCTATTTCCAACAATTACAGGTCGCCTTTAGAAGAAAAAATAGTACATTGGCGGTTTTTCTGTGTCACACCATGATTAGCTCTGCGTAGGAGAGCTATGTTTCGTTCCCCAACAGGCAACCTTTATGAGGTTCCTCATAAGAAGGAAATGTAATGAGATAGTTCGATCTGAACTGCAGTCAGAGATACAAAAAACACCAGTTAATGCTGTAATTTTTTTATTACAATCAACAAATATGTTTTTAAATGTAACTACCATATCTGTATTGATATCAGTCTCCTGTAATCCCCTGTACAGTAGACCTTAAAGTGGTTCTAAAGGCAGAAAGTGTTTTACCATTCTGTTCAATAAAGTAAAAAACATTCTGGCTGCAGCTTCCCCCAACCCCGCTCCCCCCTTATACTTACCTGAGCCCCATCTCACTCCATGGATGTAGAGGAGAGCTATGGCTCTCCTGGTTCTCTTTTGCCTTATTGGATCACACAGCAACGGGAGCTCCTGGAGTGGGGAGCGGGACCAAGCCATGCTCTGTGTGTGAATCGACAATGCTTGGAAGCAAGAGGACTTCTGTTGGGGCACTCAGCTGGGGAGAGGAGCCAGGATTGCCTGCAAGGGACCCAAAAACCATTGCACAGAGCAAGTAAGTATAACATGTTTATTAATTTTTTTTTTTTTTAAATTGTAATTCCAACGTTTAGATTCACTTTAAGCTGCCCATACACTGATCACAATTCCAAACTGCTTGTGTTCACCCCTGCTCAACAGAAGTCGATTGACTTCTGATCAGCAAAATGCTGATCAGTATATGGTGACAGCAATGGAATTCAATGACCAGACAGGGGTAATTCTTCCATCCACCTTGCTTCTATGGATGGAGGAATCTGAGGTTACTATTTGATTTTTATGATTCTGGTAAAGTAGCATTTAAGCTATAACTTTTTTTAGGACAAGCACATTTGTCAGGTTCCTATTGCTCTCTGTGTCCCCATAAGGGGGATTCACCCTCTATATTCTTCATCCTCTTTATTCTCTATTCTTCCTGGTGAATGTTATCACAAAGTGTGAAAATGGAAGGAAATAACAAATTTTGAGTTGTTACCAGAATGGGAGAAAAAACTTCCAAAGGGGACAATAATTCCACTGCCCCTGGTGGCAATCCAGGAATTTCCCTTGTTTTGGTGGAGTTTCTTCTCATTTCTCATTATGGCTATGGGACATAGCCATAATGACGTAAGAGTGATGTCTGAGTGACAAAAACACATTTGAAGTGGAACATCCAGTCGCTGACTTCCGGTCATATCATTTCTGGTTGCTAGAAAGCAGCCAATTCCAGGGTCTGTGGAACAGCGACACCAAAACTCATACAATGCTGATTCATTTGGGCCAATGTGGAAGCACATACAAATGTGAGTATATTTACCATTGTCACTTTTATTCATTTTAATAAATGTATTACACTATAATACTATTTTTAACCTTTGGTTCCCATGCGGGATAATGGAGTGAATGAAAAGATTGATTGATCTGAGGTACCACACCATCTGGGGCACCACACCATCTTTGGGCAAACAAGCACATTAGACCTTCTTTTTAACTAAAGAGGTCATATTGGTCTGGTGAGTTACTTAGCTTTCTCACTGGTTAAAATATGGATACTACATGGTGAAGGAGTAATAGTACCAATCATCTGTTTTCATTAAGACTGCACTTTTTATGGACTGTTTGCACTTTATGGCCATTTTTTTCATTATATATATTTCTTGCACTTCACATTTTTTTTTAGAATTGATCATTTTGTATTATCTTTTAATGGTAGGCATATTTGCACAGAACAAAGCTTCACACAATTTTTTAAGGAGCGTTTTGCCGAGATTGTCGTGTGCTCCAGTTGCCTGACAATCGCTGCAGAATCGTATTTCAGTTCGGGTGCCATTGAAGAATAATGGCACCCAAATGCACACAGCATGTTGTGCTGTGATTTGGGATCAAGGGCAAAATTGTGAGATGTTAAGGGGACCTAAGGGTAATGTCTATTTATGTTTGCAAAATGGGGATTTTACTCAAGTAATAATAAAAAAAAAATAGCATTGTGATGATATGATAATAGCTCATTGGTAGCACCATAATGAATTTTCTCCACATCAGATAAATATTTTAAAGCTTTTTCTGCTATGCAGAGCAATACAAAGCAGCATGCTGGTGCTGACAGGGAAGAGATCTGTGTTGTTTACATACAGACCTCTCCCCTGTCAGTGTTCCTTGGCAATCTCCAGGAGCCGGCGGGGAAAACTCTGGCCGGGCCCCTTTGATCGACAGCTGTGGCCACCAATGGCGGCGCCTGCTCCCTACCCGCAAATGCAAAATCATATATATATATATATATATATACACATACATAATTTTGAACAGCCCTGCCGTGCTGTAGCAGTAGTTCTGCTATAGGGCAGTCGGGAAGTGGTTAACCCCTTCCTGCCAAGTGTCATTAGTACAGTGTCAGTGCTTTTTATTAGCACTGATCACTGTATTAGTGTCACTGGGGATGTCAGTGGCAGTTAGTCAGTTCCCCCCCAGTGTCAGAATGCCTGCCACAGTCCCGCTATAAGTTGATGATCGCTGCCATTACTAGTATAAAATAAATAAATACATAAAAATTCCAGCATATATACCACCACTTGTAGACGATAGTAACTTTCATGTAAACGAATTTAAATTTACACGTATTGTGATTCTTTTTTTTGCAAAGACATGTAGCAGAATACATTTTGGCCTACATTTATGAAGAAATTAGATTTTTTTTTTATTTTTTCTTACTGGGTATGCTTTATAGCAAAAAGTCAAAAATATTGTTTTTTTTTTTCAAAATTGTTTGTATTTTTTTGCTGATAGCACAAAAAAATAAAAACTGCAGAGGTGATCAAATGCCACCAAAATAAAGCTCCATTTGAGGAGCAAAAAGGACATAAATGTCATTTGGGTGCAGCGTTGCATGACCAATTGTCAGGTAAAGTAACACAGTGCCATACCACAAAAAATTACCTGGTCAGAAAGTGGGTGGGGGGTGTAAATCCTCTGGAGGGTAAGTGGTTGTGCTTGTTTCCTCCAAAATCTGGCCTGAAATGCCTAATTACACAATGGCATGGCCTCGTCCTGCCACAGTATATACACATCTGAACTTAGGCAAAAACATTTAAAGCATATTAACTAAACAATACAAATTCCCTTAAAGTGCTTTTGAATATTTTCTATAGCATTTGACAAGGATCTTTCCTGGCCTTGTCACGTATCTATGAAGAAGGGATTTTTCTTAGCAAAAAAATGACCCAACAACATCTAACACTGTGCTTGTGAGTATTTTGCATTGCAGTTGAAAATCTTTGCAAAAGAAAACACAATTGTCACTCTTTGAATATCCAATTCACATTTGTGCATTTTAGTTCCGTTAAATGTATGTGACACCATATGCAAAATGTGTGATGAGAAATGTGCCATTATATGTGTGAATGGAACCATACCCTCAAGATGAAAATGCAGAGATCTGAACAGACCATATGCTATAATAGCACAGATCTCATCATGCCATTTGCAAATTTACATGCATTCAGCAACAGCAGAAATGTTCAGATCTGAGGAGGGTCTAAACTACTTGTCTTCAAACTATTGCCCATAGGCCACATCTGGACCACTACAAAAAATTTTCTGGCCCACAGATGAAGTCATTGGTGTATCCTCAAGGTGCACATACTGAGGATTGAGGTCAGCAGAGGCTGCCTATGGTCTATGGCTATGGTGGCAGCAGGACTACAGGTCCCAAGATTCTCTGCTGTCTCTCAGGATATTAGCTCTTTCTTTGCTGACAGGAAGTGATGTAATTATCTGAATACTGGGCACTTGGGGGAAAGGCTTAATCCATAGTTCCACTCATCAATATCCCTTGGTTTCCATTAGAACACAGCAGGCACCTGGCTACACAAAATTTATGTGCATTTTGTTTTCTTTTAAGACACATTAAAAAATGTAGCAATTTGCACAAAATGTATTCTTAAATGCAGTAATATGCAGAAAAGGATACACACTAAAACATATTTCTTTTATAATACTTTACCATGAATCTAGCCTTAGTATTAAAAGTAAACTAAATGATGCTCTACTAATTAACATACTATTTTCAGAATAATTTCCACATGTTGGATGATTGACAGTGATCAAGCTTATTTTCAAATTACTGTCCATACAAAAGAATTTGGGGCAAGCACTCTTGTGAAGATCGGTACATTGGGAAGCAGAGTAAGAGCTGTCAAAGGCTCTAATTTTATCTCTTGATTATTGAATACTTAACACTCAGTCACTTTAAGCAAGGCTGTCATGAAAGACACAGAAACTGCCATGACTGACCTCTCCTTTTGAAAATCTTAATTACTCCACTGTCATGCTTTCAATCATTGATCTTAAACAAGTATGCA